TAACAATGAACTGAATTATAAGTAGAATACTTCATTCATTGACTGGCAGTGAGCAGTCGTAAAGCGAGCAATATTCAAATCTCATAAAGCGCGTGGAACTAAACAAGAACGTTCAATGTTTAATGCAATTCAACCATCGTCTGTTGTGATGGTTCGACTAATAACCCTACCATAATGGTTACAATATGTTTCGTCGTTTCCTGTCTCCGTATGTAGCCATGGACCGGCATAACTAATACCGGAAGCCATGAAATTTTAACGAGTTTGCGGGATTCGCTGGATGGCAACGGACGAACCGTTAAGTCGCCGTTTGGGCAATCATGTCGGAGAGAAATTGTTTAGAGAAATTGGTGAAAAGTATCTAATCAATTAAATCCCATTTTATGTCTAATTCGCCGAACTATTAATTCATTTTTTCACAATTTTTCGAGTGAAAAGCGTAGAGCATAAAATTAGACGCAAAAACGAAACCACAAACGCTGTACCAATTATTTCAGTCCCCCTTTAATTGGCTATTTTGAAGTACCTGATGTATTAAATTCAATGAAACCACATAATATTCACAGATTATTTATACAATTATATTACGTTTCACGTTGAATCAATGAACGACCATCCAGATATCTCCGTAATCGAATAAAGGATCGCACCGCTGGCACCCAGCGTTTATTCGCAATTTATTATTCGAGTGGAATTCCGCCCATCTCTGGTTTCATTCCACATTCGGTCGTCTCGTTCGCGGCAAGCTAGTAATTAAAATGTAAATTTTTTCAGCGGCCGGGGTGGACGTCTCGGTTGCGTTTTATCCGGCGTCCTTTTATGACTCGCGAATTCATTCGCGTTGACAAATTGTTTCTTCTCAGCCGGGAGCATCCCGTGGAAGAGGTTTCGCGAAGGAATTGCCGCGGGCACTCGCGAGTAGCTGCATGGCTGAACCGGTCGTATTAGGTTCCAAGTTTCATCCGACGAATAACGTCGCGACTTTATTCCTGTGTCGTCTCAGGTCCTCGGGCATAATTCACCTCGTGGATTTTATTACGATTCCGAGACACGGTTTTCTTACCGCCGTGTGGATGAATTTATTTCCCTGGGATGGCGGAGGGGTTGGGGGTCGTGGCACGCGATGAACGTCCCGCGGTTAAGAACGGAGATGATGGGGGAGACGCGCTGGAAAATTTCTCTGGTTATTAAACGGCGCTCCTTTGGGGAGAATAAAGTGTAAAGAAGCGACAATGCGCCTTGTCGAAGTAAAAACTTTCTTTGTACGCAGAGTTCTTTCGATTCTTTCGATTTTTCACTTACTTTCGTGATTCAGGTAAAGTTCCGTATTAAAGAACTTTTTCTAACGATAGAATTATTTTGTAACTTTATTCGACATTCGAATAATAATTTCGTTGTAGTATGATTACGTTCTCGAGCGAAACGGCGCCAAAACGAGAACCTCGGTGCAAGCGCCGTGAAAAATTATTGCCGCAGATTAGTCCACTCTGGCTGCTTGCGACATACCTAAAGTGACTGTCATTATATCTCACGGTGGTGTTGCAGCCTGACTAACGAGTGCACACGCTGCACACCGCGTTTGCAGCTGTTTTGTATCGCGCCCAGACCGTCTTAAAGTTCTTACGTCGCGTTTAACCTAATTACATACTTTCCTTGCGAGGAACGGTCCATGAACCGGCGCGACGATCTGCTTAATTACACGAGGAAAAAAAATCCCAATTTCCCGTACGCCGCCCCCTTTGCTGCGACAACCTGTCGTCGTGCCAGTCACGTTAAAAAACGATCTTGGACAGTGCTATTAAAATTGCGATGCTCGATCTGCTTTACGATCTGCTTTCTTTTTACGATCGGTGTCTTATCTTGCTAATGATAACATATTGCGACGTCTGACTCGGCCTTGATGTCTTTTAAAACGTGATTAAAGAAAAATGATGATCGTCGATCCGATACTTTTTGACAGTCTTATGGATTTTGCGAATTTCAGTCCAATGTGTTATCATTGACTTTAATTGTCATTTGCAGACTTTGAAGTTGGCCGATGCCTTGCGGTTTCTTTAGAATATTTTTCTTTTTCTTTTAGTTCGAACCAATTTGATATTCAGCAAGTTAACGATTTCCCCTACATTCAGCACCGCCGCCCCTTTAAATTCGTTCTCGGCTAGAAGTCGTGACTAATTTCTCGTTCGTCACCGTTTTCTGACTTCCCCAAACGTTCGTGCAAGCTCCTCGACGGTGCGTGCACACGCAACACCGAGAGTTGCAGTTGTGTGCACACTACCAGACCTAATAAAACGAGACCGTTCGTGACGCAGGGCGGGGCTCATTAGTTAATTAAACAAACTGTGGGTCACGTGCACGCGATCGAAGGTCACAGTCCCCTTTTCTTACCCTCGTACCTCGTTCTTCAGGCGTTTCCCCGCGCAGCTTGCAATTAATTTCACCAATGATTCATTTTTTAAAACATTTAATTCCAAAATTAATCCGATACCTTCCAACATCTCAGACTTTCAGTCGAGCGGTATATCCAGAAAGTACTTGGATCTGTATACCAGTCACCATCGATCCTATCGAAAATTTGTGCGCAACGAACGAGTTTCTACATTCGATTTCCAACAACTCTTCTTACACGCCTTCCTGCTTCAAAAGTTTAACGAGATATCGCGGGTTTATCTGATTATCAAGAACTCTGCGACGTGAGATTAGATTTTAAGTCGAACTAGCTTATGCTTCGAATTTCGTCGCGATAAATTCAGTCGTTGTAAACATTCGATTTGCGTTTTAATTATACAGATCATGCGAGTTAAGACATTACACGTCTTGTAAAGGAGATTGTTTATTTTTCACAGCAAACGTTGGTTTGCTTACAAATTCTGCCGTGGATTATCGAGATGACGATTGAATCGTAGTTGGGTAAGACTGGGAATCAATCTGCAGGCTACAGAGCCTGCAAATTGTCACGGTAATTGCAACACGACTGGCACACGCGAACGGTTTCGCTTCTATTGTGACAGTCGCTCGTAGCGTGGAATATATCGGCTGCCAATTAAGCGAGATAGGAAATTGTTGTTGTCCTTTCGGGGAAAAATTTCGCCTCGTCAGCGCGAGTTTTTCGGGCCAGTGCAACGACCATGAAAAATAATCTGCGTGCGTGATTCTCGAACGAAAAAGTGAAATACAGCAACCATGAAAGAATAGTTAAATAATTATATTACTGACTGACTGTATAAGTATCGTCGAGAGTTGAAATTTATTGTTAACGATCGCGCACAGTTTCATTCTCAAACGAGCGAAGAAGCAAATGCGTCGAGCATCGCCGCGCGAATTCGCGTCTGCGTGGAGTGCTCGCGGAAACTCGAGTGCCAGGGAATAATTAAACAGCGAGAAAAAAAGTGTCCTTTTGTTCCTTTTCGCGTGACGAAGTCCTCGCCTCGAGCACGCTCGAGTCGAGCGTTCGATTATTCAGCGGGCATTGTTTGATTCGCGCCACCCGCGCCTCGCTCAAATACGCTTTAATGCATTTGCGGTTCTCCTTTTCGAGCGGGTTCGCGCTATCGCAATTTGTTGGAAGACACTCGTGGGGAATCGAGGATGCGGGGGTTGGAGCGAAATTATTTATTGAAAATTAAACCATTTCTGTGGAAAGGGAACAGAAGGAGCAATGGTATCGAATAATACAATGCGATAAAAGCAATAACCGCATTCGTTCATCGGGATTAACGAATCGAGGAAATTCTAAAGGCGCATAGTTTATTTGTATTTCTCTTTGCCACAACGAATTTTCTGCGCTAATCGACGGGGAATGATGCACGCTCGCGACGAAATAGAAAGAAATTAGATTCCTCGAAGTGGAGAAATCGTGCGCAGTTTTGCAATAACGTAAGCAGTTTTATGATTCGATTCCTTCGCGAATATTCAAATGAAGTTACATGCTTCTAATTGGAATCAAATTTAGAACCATGAAACCCTGTGGTATAACTAAAAACAAGTGCAGAAGTCACGTATCATATAAAACTGAGGCATTGTTGCGTGATTTTTGCACTTTTGCAGCTGTACCTCCAGTTTCAAAATTAAATTAAATTCACATTTAACCACGCCCATTAGCGCAGTAAAACGTCTGCTTTTAATCACAGCGTGCTTAAAATCTCAGCAAACTGTCCTACCGATACCGAGCCGATTGTTTTTAAACGTACACAGGGCAGTGGCTCCCGTTATGGCGAATCGCGAAGACCGGTTTCCTCATGCCGCAATTGGTTAAATATGACGCAGCTGTCGCCGTCAGATTCATTGGCGATAAAAGGTATGCGAAAGGTTATCCGTGGCTCTCATTAACACTCGTCGAAACGCGTGAAATATTTCAACCCGCAGCCTCTCTTTGTTCTTTCCTGTTTCTTCCGTTCGCTCCCACGGGAGAGAACGTCGCCGCGGGGCTGTCAGAGCGATCTGTTCAACTCGCCGGCTTGACTAATTAATTTACTAATTATCGTCGTTTAATTGTCGAAGCGTGAGCCCCTCCACCATTACCTCGAATGGGAGCCGACTTTAATACTGCGAGCATATTTTCTCCGGGGGTGGAAACGTGACTGGGGAGCAACTTCGAGCTTGTTATAGTTACTCGGAATAATTTTCGATTCTTTGTTACCTTTTTGTTGGTCTCGATAGCACGTTCGCAATCGAGGAAATAGAAATTTACAGCGCGATAGACGAATTTCGTGTTCTCATACTAAACGTGTAGCGATTCATTCGACCATCCAATCGAGTGAACCTGCGAATAAATTACTTCCTATTCTTTAATCAGTCAGTCTCGGAGTAAAATGTCTTTCGTTTCTGATTTAAGCGTTTCCGTTCGAATCAAGTATCTATTTAACAGCCACCTGTGATCCGTAAATCAAATGTAATAAATAATATCTGCCGAGCAGGTGTAAACGGATCCTCATGCACCTGCTCAGCAGAAATTATTTATCACTTTTGCTTTTCGTACTGAAACGATCGCGTGATGTCGATATACGAGGTGTCGAATATTACTGTCGATATCTCACCAAATCCGCGCTGAAAAAGGGTGACTGACAGTGAGCGACGGATCTAGTTCAGAAATATACTACTCGCGATAAGGGCGGCGCGACAAAGTCATAGATAGAGTCATAGACGGTATCGATGATCGTTGGCACAGAATTGCTGATTACTCGGTTGACTCTCTCGGCCAATTACGTCATTCGAGTCAAGGGGTCAGACGCAATTGTTTCCAACTGACGCCACCGTGGAAAACATGATTTTCGTCGGTAGCTGATAGAGCGGAGAGAAAATGGCCGTCCAAGACGAGCCACTCCGATGATTTATGCGGTTCGATCAATCTGGGTTACCGCGTTATCATTCGCTTTGCGTATTCGCATAATCGTCAGGGGGTGAACGAACCTGCGTCTGATCGCAATCGTGGCATTTTGCAGCTTACGAGTGTGAGTGTGAGTGCGAATGTCAGTGAAACGCGAATTCGATGGTCAAGGTAATATGCACGCTGCGTAGATGGATCTTTATCGAAGCATTTAAGAACTGTACATTCTTTGGTTTTTTTTTTTTTTCTTAAGTACAGTGATTCGTTTATAAACTTTACGCTTCTAGTCTATGCATATTATAATAAAATTTTTCGTACAAATGATAACAAGATCCGCGAATAGAAAGCAAACCGAGATACTATTTCTGGAAATGGAGATACGCGCAGAATTATTCCGTTGATAGAAAAGAAGCGCGAGTCGCGCGGTTACGTAAGTCACTTTCGAGTTGTCGATAGGCAGCCAATCGAAGCGCGTCTAACGAGCAAAAGAAGAAGCTCTAACGCGTCCACGGGGCGCCGATAACCGTATCGGACGGCATTAATCACCGGCCTCTCCGTATCCTCCGTTGTTCCCGACGTGTTTGACACGCTCGACTCGCTTAGGCGACACGAATCGCAACGCGAATTAGTTGTAAACCCGGGGAGAACGATCCACGAGGCGTTGAACGGCGTCGATTGTAATTTATCAAATCGCCGTCGGCGCCCACACTTCAATCAATACGAATCTTCTGCTGGGTCCGTGAACTCTCTTCCGTTCACGCGCTCCGATGGAAACGCAAGAGGGTGTAAACGCGGCTCTACCGTCTCTGGTCAAGCCTGTCACAGCTGTAACAGCCTATCTAAATCGTTCAGTGGTTCCATTCTTTTTTTTTAATAAAATTCTGAAATCCGATTTTAGTAAATCAAGGTACACGATATTTTTATTCTCTTTTGATATTAAGGACTTGAATATTTAAAATTTGTCTATAGTCCATCTGAAAAAAAATCACGAAATTTGGTGCATCGACTTGATAGTACAGAGCATCGATGCCGTAGAATTTTTGATAGAATCCTGCCTTGTAATTGATTCGTAGACATTGCGGTTACTTTCGTTAATCGGGATATGGATTCAGCCGTATTGCTAAAATAACGCAGCCGTTTCAACGAGTCGACGATCGCGAGAGAATAATTTTTAACGTTAATAGCGGTCTAATGGACGCCTGGCGTAATTCCCCGTGCACGTCCAACCCTCTTTGCACCGAGGCGGAGGCACACGAGTGGTATACGGTGCGGGAACACCTACACGCAAGCGTGGAACGCGTCCGCGTGGAAAACTCTCGAGGCAAGAGGCAAGTGTGTTCACCTTAAGGCTCGAGGCCTTTAGTCGAACGCCGCCGTACGCGCTGTAAACACCATGCGTTCGCGTCGCGAGTCGCGTTTACTCAGATCGTCCTCAACGATCATTCGCGTCGCGTCGATCGGCGAAACCTGATTTCTCGCCGGCTTCGACGACGAAATATAAGTTGCACAGTCCAACTTCCGATTTCTGTGCTCTGTTCACGCGTGCTCCGAGTTTACGCGCTTTGACGAGTTCTTCGGTGAGTTTTTTCAAAGGTGGGGAACCTGTGACATTCTCGTGGTTTTCGCGCAGAAATTGTAACTTCGTTATTGTCATTCGTTTATGAAGTAGTAGCTGGTCCGTTTATGAATTTTAATTAAATTTTAAATACCAATCTTAAATCTTAACTCGTGTCCTCGATATCTACTCATTTTCTAAAGAGCCTTCTGCGTAAGCTTAACCATGGTGTTTATAAATAAATCACCTCATTGCTAAAACAAAAAAAATCACAGCAAACGCTATTTGAATCGTTTACTCGTAATCATTGAAAATTCATTGACACGCAGGCTTCCCTTGCCAAAAGGCTCCCCACCTCTGTAATGGAGTAGACGAAGTGCTGTTGGCAAGCAGATGTTACCGCGAGTTTGTGTTGACAGTTGAGGAAAGTCACAGTGTTTGCGTCCGCGTGGATAAGCGATCAAGAATCTTCCATTCGTCGCTGAGATGGTCTGATCGAGGAATGCCGATCAGAAACCGCGGCGAAACCGATTGGCGGAGATCGACGTCGCTGCCATGGGATTCGAGGATGTTAGGATGTTTCGGTAGCAACGAGAGCATACTTGGTTATGTGACCGCGAAAGGTACGTCGACTCCGTCGCGACCAATTAGCGCAGTGGTTCTTAACCTTTTTAAGCTCGCGGTTCGGAGAAAAAAGCCTGGCACAGTTGTTGATCATGAGTGATCGCACAGTCCGAGCATCTGTGTGTATAGGTCTGTTTGTTAAACGATTCGACCTGGTCTTTCGGAGCCTATTTAATAAACAGTCGTATTGTGTCGTTGATATAAAAATAATTGTTCACAGGCAGATACCTATCTCTTATCTAGTTAATGCGTGAGAATTGTTCTTTTTTTTCATATTTAATATTAACAAAGATCTAGAATCCTAATTTGCATAAGTACGACGTAGAAAATAGCTTGAAAACAGTCAGAACTTTCTTGTTATCTTCGCTAGAAAAAATCCTGAATGTGCCTAACGATATCTCTGCCTGTTTGATTCAGAAACCGCAATCTTTCGAAGTAAAAGCGAAATCTATTCGTGGCATTCCTTGTAATACTGACCGCAGCTCATGTTTTTTAGCATATTTCATCGGAGAATCCTAATCTATCTAACGTTTTCCATGTTCTTCGTAGTAGGTTCTCCTCGATAAATTCTACGAATCGATGAGTATACGTTCCAAAGAAAGTAAATAGAATAAGTGACCGCTCGTGGCTGAAAATATCGTATTAATTTACAAGAGCTCGCAGATATTACGTCTTAAATAAGATTAGAAGACTATTTATCCGACCCACGGTCTCCTTCGATGCCAGAAAATTTCTTCCAAGATTCTAAATAGTAGTTAAATCCATAGCTGGTTAGTTTGATGGTCGATCCGCCTCTGCTAAAGACCAATGAAGAGTTTCCTTCTTCCTGATTCGGTTAATATATTCCACGGGAGTAAAAGCCGCGATATACCGGGTTAAAGAAGCGCTGAATCAACGATTGTTACACGAGATGAATCGCGGAGGAGTTGTTAAGTCATACCGTCCACGCGTCCGCCGTACGATAGCCGCGAGAAAGCAGATAGAAAGCGGCCTTCTCGGCGTTGTTCTGCCAGGAGAACGAATTCTACTCTCTTCGGATCGCTTTCGTCGCGATAAGACGCGTTTTTGTTCTTTCGCTATTTTTCCCTTCTTCCAATTTTTCATCCTTTTTTCTTTTTTTGTCGTTCGCAACGGAACGGGGCTCGTTTCGTCGGTGCATAATTTTCAACGCATCGCTGGCATTAGCGAGACTCGGCTTTCATCGAGGCGAGTTATCGCGGCGCGATTATCCTGTTGGGAACGAAGGAATTGTTGCATCGAGTTTCCGCTTAGTCAGGATACCGAGGCTTAATGGCAGAGTCCAATGGTTTTGTTTTACTGCTTTTTCTGCTAAATTGGAGGATTCCGGTGCGGATCGAGACTCGCTTCTCGAATGTGCAAGGAACGAAGGGGAGTTTATTCTTGGAATGAGAACTTTGCATTGCAACGTGCACGTTTTCTGGATCGTTCCACAAGCACTCCGAGGTTCGGCGTAGATTGGAAACTCGATGTTTGGGATGATCTTTCGCGAGGTGTAAAAAAAAAGTGTAGGGGAAAGGTATCTTAACATCCTCAATTTTCACTTGTACGTTAATCTCAATGTATCCGTATATCTCAGCTAGGAACGTCAATTTCGTAACGTCGTAACCCTAAAACGAATACGTACGTTTCCCGGGTACGAAAAATAGTGTAGCTCCTCCCGACAGGTAGGGTCATCGAGGAACATTGAACGTAGGAACAATCACGAACTGTGTCGTGCGTGGCCGCCGACGCTATACAGCCTCGACCGCGGGCTCCCTAAAAATTTTATAGTTTCCTCGCAGGGCACGCTCTCCCACGCGCGGCTGGACAAGGAAAACGTGTCGTATCGTCGAAAACGATCGTCGCCACCAGCGGACGTGGTTGGGCATTAACGCGACTCGAAACACTGGCTCACGTGCCTCTGTGTCAGCAGTGAATCCTTCTGGGAATACAAATTGGACGGTTTTCTCGTGGCGTCTCATCATCGGGTATCATGAAACGACCAACGGTAACTCACGGTGTATTCGCGAGTCCCGACCTTCTCTGGCTTTATTTAACCGCATCGTACGTGGAAAGTGCACGCACGCGTGCTCGAAACCGTCACGGTTTCGTTTTCGTTTAGAGCGAAGCACTTATTGCTAGAGGAATGCACGACAACGCGTAAATGAACGATTATTTGCGTTCTTACGAGTGAAGAGGTAATTAGGGAAGGTTTTCGAGTCGGTGGAGTCAATGGTCGGTCGGTGAAGTCATTGGGAAGGCATTTCTAGGGGACTTGGTTGAGTAGCATGAACAGATGCAGAATTCTTTTTATAATTTTGAACATTTTTGAAACGGTCATATTCAAGCCATTATTATTTAAGCATCTTAGTTTTTTCGTGGACCAGCTGTGTCTCGCTTATTTCGGAGTATTTCGGAGCAGGTGCTCTCCATTCTGCGACTGATTGCCTTATACCATAGCTGATTCTTATCCGCTGATCCTTATCCAATTGCACCGTAGCACACTATCGTACCGTGAAGACGACTATACCGTGTTACGAGTGTTTGGAAACAGATGTAGCAAGCTCGATTACTTGAGGTTACTAATTCGCCTTTTAATTTTCAAAATTTACCTTACATTTCTAATGGCAATATTAATTTTTATAAAATATTTCATTTTCACCTGCAACTCTATCTCAAAGAGCAAACGAAACAAAGAATCCACGTTTAATTTATTCAAGCTCGCTTCAAATTTCGCGTCGAGTTTTAAGCTCCAAGAAACTAGCGTGGCATTATCATAGATAACGCAAGAGGCGCAGCGTCGTTTTCCAGCGAGTTTCCATGCCGTGCATAAATTCGTTTCGAGGAACTTCCGCTCCCATTGTTATCGTACGTGTTCCTACGCGTTTCGTGTTCGTCGCGAAGCGCCTCGTATCATTTTCCCACTGGAAAATTCTGCGTCAGCGATGCTGGAAATTCGACACGAGCCGCGAACGAGAATCCGATTGATAAAGTTTGCTCGAGTTTCGTGGGTTTCCTCCTCTGTCGTTCGCGAGGAGATTCGCGTGCAGTCGCGACGTGCAGTCGGACAATTCCGAGCGAGATACCGTCGCATTCCGCGTCGACTTCGTCATTCGTTCAGCTATCGTTGGTGGCGTCTATGAACTCCGATGCGCCGCGAGAGAAACGCTCTTTGATCCGGAAGAAAAGCGAAATCTGGCACGAAGCGAGCAACTGATTCTCGGAAAATTAGTTACAGAGGGGTCTGGGTGTTCGTAGGATAATTGATGGCTGGTTTATTTAGAAAATGGAACTTATGGAAAATTGGCGAGTTCCAAATAACGAATACAAAATTAGAATCCATCGAGGGAACTTTTTCAGCCACTATCAGCATGAACAAAATCACATGGAAAAATTTGGGAATGAATTAAAAAATTGTTGATACAGGCTTATGCTCTTATCGTAACACTAGATCGTTCATTTTTTGTTCGCTTGGTCTTATATAAGCCCCATCGCGGTACGTATTTACTCGATTCGCTCGCACGAGGTTCCACGTTCCAAATTGAACACGATCTTGACACTAATTCGCAAGTAATTGATCACCTCGGATTAGCCGTACTCGTTCGTGCTTATACGCGAATGTACGACTTGTTTAGGCGTATCTAGAGCGAATTATGCGTACACTAGAGCGGAGTGTAAAGAACTCCGAATTGAGAGCCTACACACGTGCCCTTAGTTGCACTCTTGTGACGGAATGTCTCAACGCCTTCGCGCGAATCCCAGGAATCTCATTTTTTAATCGGCGTCTGGTAATTACGATTCGTGTTATGAAAAGAGGGCGAATCTCGAGCTCTCTTAGCAGGAAAATAACGATGACGACAGTAATGAATTAGTAAAGGAAAATTGGTACCTGGGATGCTAGAGAACTTCTAAGAAATCTAAGAAATGCGATGAAATAATATATATTGTTCTTAAAAATTCCGTTTTGTAATATAAAAAATAAAAATAATAATAAATTGTCGTCTTCGTTTAATATTATTTTAGACGAATATCAACAGTGGAAGGAACTAAATTACTTTCATTTTATCCAGGTTTTATCGCAGTTTCCTGTACTATAATTGGTCCATGGAGTGTGTGTATATATATATATATACACCATAATACAGTTGTGCAATCCACTTAAATAATATCGCCAGCACCAAGGAATCGTCTGTTCCTCACCGTGTACGAGCTAATATCGTTAATTATCGTAACGAAGTTGGTATTATCACGTGTGGGTAACGATCCAGGATAATTATTACACTGCGCAGTCTAGGCACACGCGGAGAACCGTGTTCAGATCGTCGAGTTCTTGTACCTTTCGATTTCGTATGCGACGCTTCCTGGAAGATTTTTGCAACGCCTGAAACCGGTCGAATAAAAGAAAGCGAGAAACCAACGACGACGCGTAATTATTGTTAGCTAAACCCGCGGATTGACAGAGTTCTTATCTAATTACAAAAGAAATAAAATTTACATAATGGCACCAATGGAATCCGATGAAATTCACTATTAGCTTATCTTTTGTAAAGCTTATAATTGACCTACGGAGAGTCGTGGAATAATGCATGACGCTGAGACTACGTCCTGATCACTATCATTTCCTCCGAAGATCGCAGTCCTCCTTTGAGCAATTGAAGCAATTAGGTTTCTCAGAAGCAAACCGAGTGCGTATCGGGAGAATCTGTCTCCGAATGCATACTGTCGAGAGTAAAAGCGAGGCACGCGTCGGTCCGACGTTCTCGTCGGTTTTCAGAGGATCGAAGGAGGGACCGCGGTCGAAGATTACGGTCGCTGGAAACTGGTAATGGTCGACGCGAATTATGAACGATCCGTCGTTGAAACCAGTTTCGCGCTAATTGCCCGTACGATTGTACGGTCATCTGGTAACCGCGCGCCAACCGATCGCCTGTTCCTCGAACGTGAAACAAGGCCTCGGATCGCGGCTCGTGTACCTGACCTCGTGCAATTCAGCGAAAGTCCTTGAGTCACCGAGAAACGGACGACTTTAATCGATACTACGATTCGTTTGTCCACGCGAATCGACCAATCATTCGCTGGTTCGATCTCGCGATTATATCTGAGCAGTGTACTCCTTGCAATCTTGTGTGTGTTCAGTTCGTTGTATTAGGTTGTCCCGAAAGTTTCTTTTATTTTATTAATAAGTAGTACATGGACAATAGTTTATGTTCACATTAAATTATCACCTGGTGTCTTATTCTGTAATTTAATTAGAGTATTTTCACCTTTCCTTTGCTAACAGGTTTGTCGCTATCGTTGCAGATTCCCAAGATGTCGATCTCGACGCCATCCTCGGCGAGCTGTGCGCCCTGGAGCGTCGCTGTGACGGCGACATCGCCGCCACGCCAGCTCCGGATTCTCAGAGACAGGGCCGACCGAACAGCACCAGGATCACAGCTGGCGACAATACCGATATCGGCAAGAACGAAGGAGGTGATTTCTTTATTTTATTTTCGTTTAACGTCTTCGCTTGGCCGTAGGAAAAGGAGAGCGAAACAATGAGTAGTTTAAAAAAAAAAAAGTTTGAGAAGCATAGATTACTTATCTTTGAAAAATTTATATAAATTTATTCTACTGAAAGAGACCTGTCCATAACACTGGGCGAGTACAATGTTGCATAAGATTGCTCGGTATTAGAATTACATAAGCAGTAATCCGAATAATCACATCTTACCAGAACAGATGTTCAAACGTTCACCTTTCAAACTGTCGATAAGATGCCCTATCAAGATTGCCACTTCGTGTGTTTCCAATCATGAATATTTCAGCACAATGCTATCAGTTATTATTAACTCGCGATACTAGACACTGGGAATAATTGTAATTTACAATAACATCCGATTTGAGCAGAACATCTTTGTTTGTATGAGCTAATCGTCTATAATTGCTGTATTTTTTAAAACTTAGCACAATACCGTTACATATGAACACAATCGTTCAATTTTATAACAACATCCGATATATCTTTAATATCGTAAGTTCACAAGTCCAAACGCCTATCGCGAGAACTAAGATTAAATCAGCCAAGTCCAAACTCCTCCGGTCGCGATTCGATAGATTGGTGCCTTTCGCTTAACTTTTAATTCTCTAGATACACGAATCGATCGTAACAAAGCTGCTTACCGGAGATTCGAGCATACCGATTCCCTGAAATTAATTTCAACGCACAACTCGCAATTCCATGGATTGCATCATTGCAGTGTTACGCTCGACTCGTTCAATTTTTATAAGCACACCGTTTGATTCTAGTTGCCCGCATAATCGAACGATGTAAAATACTAATTTAACTGGTTTCTTCTATCGGTATCTATTTTGCTATCGACGTTAGCTCCGCGGAACGCTTATCAAGCTCGGTTGAGAGAAACACCTACGTCGTATCTCTGACTTTCTTTAACGCGTGCGATGGATATTCGTTTCAGCTATGCGCACCGATAGTCCTGACAATGATAGCGCATTTTCGGACACGGTGTCGATGTTGTCCAGCGAGAGTTCCGCGAGCAGCAGCGGCTCTGGGCACAAACCACCCCAGACCGCCATGCACACAGCCACACAGCAACAATCTCACCAACTCATGGGTGAGTTTATCCTATCCAACGTGATCCGTAATTTTCCAAACATTTCCGGTTCGGTTCGATTATATCTATATTTTATATAATTTGATTTTCCCCTGAAAGACGCTGCGAGCAGAGTCAAGGCGGAGAAGATCCGATTGGCGCTGGAGAAAATGCGCGAGGCAAGCGTTCAGAAGCTCTTCATCAAAGCCTTCACATTGGACGGTAGCGGGAAAAGTTTACTCGTGGACGAGGGAATGAGCGTGGCCCACGTGAGTAGGCTCCTCGCCGACAAGAACCACGTGCCAATGGATCCCAAGTGGGCAGTCGTCGAGCATCTGCCCGATCTCTTCATGGGTAAGCTCCTCGTCTCATCGACTTTTCATCGATTCGAACATTACGAACACCTCTAAATCGTGATTTTTATTTACAGAAAGGGTATACGAGGATCACGAGCTGCTGGTGGAGAATCTCTTATTATGGACGAGGGACTCGAAGAACAAACTGCTCTTCGTCGAGAGGCCCGACAAAACACAGCTGTTTTTCACCCCGGAGAGGTACCTTCTGGGCCCGTCCGATAGGTCTAGCGGTGAATACGATGATCATTCGCGTAATATACTCCTGGAGGAATTCTTCTCCAGCAGTAACGTCGGTGTGCCCGAGGTAACTAGTCCCTGATGTCGAGACACCACCTAAAATCGAATTTCCGTCGTAACTTACCTTCTAGCTCGATAGTTTTTCCAACTATGGTGTGATTCCTAGGTCGAGGGACCACTGTACTTGAAGTCGGACGGCAAGAAGGGCTGGAAAAGGTATCACTTCATCCTACGAGCATCCGGCCTCTACTATTGGCCAAAAGAAAAGGCCCGCACCGCGCGTGACCTGGTCTGTCTGGCGACCTTCGACGTGAACCAAATCTACTACGGAGTCGGCTGGAAGAAGAAGTACAAAGCGCCCACGGATTTCTGCTTCGCCGTGAAGCATCCCAGACTGCAGCAACCGAAATCCACCAAGTACATAAAGTTTCTCTGCGCGGAGGACAACGCGTCCTTGGAACGATGGATGGTTGGAATCAGGATAGCCAAGTATGGCAGACAGCTGATGGAGAATTACAGAACCCTCGTCGACGAACTGGCACAGGAGGATCTCGACATGCTGGCACACGCCAGATCCTGTTCCGTTAGCTCGATCGCCGTCCCGCCTCAAAGTCAAGCTCACTATAACACGAGCAATGACAATGCACGACAGTTCGCGGAGAATTCGAGACACAACGTGGAAACTGCTAACGCCAGGCAGTACGACAGTCAGAGACAGAGTTACAATCCGGAGCAACGACAGAGTTACAATAACGATGGAAGGCTGAGCAGAGCCAGCAGCTCGAGTTCGAGTGGGTGTCTGTCGGACGGAGCACCCAGTAGTTGCGAGGTACTTGTCCAAGTTTGTAGGATAATTGTTTCTAGTATTAAATAAATGTATCGGCATTTCTGCAAGATACGAGTACTTTAATACATTTTTTAAATTATTGTATCGCAGGTGGCTTTCGAGTGTGGCGAATTTCCAACGGGAACGATAAAGAGAAAACCCTCGATGAACCCAAAACTCCCCCTTACATCCATCACCAGACAGTTGAAGGAGGTGGGCGAGACTGTTCGAGACGAGCCAGACTGCCCCAGTCCTACAAGTTCCGGATCGGGCACGTTGACCAGAAGGCACAGTCGAAGACGGAGTGGCACCGACTCGGACGGTTCTGGAACACTGAAAAGACATCATCGATCAGGGAATGCGACTCCGGTTAGCCCTGTGCCTCCGGGTACACCAGTTAGAGAAAGGGCAAGTCCTATGGGGTATAACAGAACAGAGCCTCAGGAGTCGAAGACGCCAACGAGCCCCATACCGACATGTATGGTGAGTACCAGTCATGATCATTTCTTCAAGGAGAGGTTAAGGAATATACCTCTGAGTTTTATATGTTTTGTCTTACCTCCGAGGATAGCCATTAACTCAATTATGTCTTACAGATGGATTCGATTACGTCGTTACCGCCGCCACCGTCACCGTCAAGAGTTGCCGAAGAGGCAGAATCCGATAGCGAGCCGCTTCCTCCTCCCCCACCAGAGATGTTCCGATCGAACCTCTCTCTGGATTCACTGCCACCTCCTCCAGCACCTGGTGAGATCCCAGTGTGCAACACTCCGGAGCTTTCCGGATCGTCGTTGAGCTTAGCATCACTCCCGCCACCTCCCAGTCCCCTAGTAGGCGAAACAGGAACGATTCGTCGCGCAAGGCCGAAACAGTCTACGCCCACGAACTCCATAACCCCCGAGAACACACCTACCCATACCCCATCGAGACAGCCGGCTAATCAGCAGATGTACTCGAGTAACTCGCTGCAAAACAATTCGACGATTCAGAACAACCAGAATTACAACGCCAACGTGCAAAACGCTCACCACGCGAACAACACCGCGAACTCGGTGTCCTCTCCCCACAGTTCTTATCCAGGTTCCAACGCGAGCACGCCAACCTACGCTCCCAGTTCGCCAGGCTTCGCTTCTCCTCCGCCATTCATTCCTCCGCCAGCTTACGGATCCCAACAACAGCACACCACTTCCCAGAGTCTCACCAGACAGAACTCTAAAGGCGAACCTGTATACGGAAGCCACCAGACCGTGCACCAACACAACACGATTCAGCCGATCAGGCCGAACCCGAACATGGACACGGTACGACGTAGCGCCATGAAGCAAACCTCGAGCCATTACGCTGCTCCTCCCTACCTGGCGGAGTTGAAAGCTGCCTCAAGTCCACAGCCCCAGCGCAGGGTGACCATCCAGGAACCGCCTACGTCGCCTAAATCCAAGACTGGCACCGGCAAGAAGATCACGTTCAATCTTCCCCCGCAACAGGAGCCAGGTAGTCCTGCCCTGCCTCAGAGGAAACCGATGCCACCGAGGAGATCCGATAGCACGAGGCTCACATCACCGAAAAAGCTCGCCGCCTCCGATCAGGCACCCCCTGGTGATTTCCTCAAGGATCTGCAGCGAGTGATGAGGAAAAAGTGGCAGGTGGCACAGAAATGCAAACTAGACTCGACGACCACTCCCCACGAGGTTCTCGGTTTTCGCGATCCACCTCCAGCCGTAGCGGATTACAGAGAAACGAACGTGTCGAATTGGGTCCAAGAGCACTACGGAGCCGACAATCTTTACGAGAACGTGTACGCGACGGATCCTCACGCGCCCGTGGAATACGCCTCCAGTCCCGCCAGGCAATCCACTGTCAGGTTCGCCGACGAGAATCGCAGTATCAATATAGTTAACGCCATCGCCAGCAAACGAAGACCACCGCCACCGCCTCCGAAGAGGGCAGAGACCACGCATCTGACCACCACCAGAGCGATGCACTGACAATAGCAGATAATTCAGCCCCATCCCGAAAGGAGATGGTATTGCTGTCTGTGCAGCTGGTGGAAGGACTAAGAGAAAGGGTGAGAAAGAGAGAAAAAGAGAGGAATTCGCTTTGTTCTGTGATTTGGTCACCGTTTCGAGGTCCTGGTATCGAGTCCACGCGTAGATCGTCCTCCGCGTCGCTGTGCGCCGCCGTTCGATGAGGAGAGGGGAACGTCCAGGGAAGAGAGAAGGGGATCCGACGATTATCCTTGAAGACAAACCATTCGGCTTTGCGTGCACGTCAGAGTTTGCATGGCCAAATCATCAGCTTGGCTGGAAATCCTTTTTATCTACCCGAACAACCAGCCCCGTTAATAGGATAATCGATGTAAATTTAGGATTTCGAAGATGAAAGTCTGATCGGATACTGCCAATAAACCATCGTACGATTGTCGCGAGGATTGGTCGTCGAATAGGGAATTTTTTTTAACGAGATGGAGCTTTAGGTTATCGAGTCCGATGTCGAAACATCAATCTCAGCGCCGACGTATCGACGGCCGTTCAACTAGAACGTAAGGGAAACACTGCCGCACATGTTGAGGATGTGATATATAAGTCTTAAGTTCCCACTTTTGTTTCCCGTGATCACGGGACGTTCGAGGAGGACGCAACGATATCGAATTTAAAGCACGTGAGACTGTGTGTAAGTTAGGCTCGCCATGGACCACGGCAGCGACTTTTCGGATAATCGTAAAGTGAAATGGCGTTTGCGATCTCTGGCGGGCTGTATCTCTGATGTGTCCGAGTCAAACGGGGCGGAAGGACGTTTTCGCGTGTTTTCCACTGTTTAGGAAACAGACGAGCGGGAAATAACGAGAGATCAAGACAGGTGATGAACGATTTTGTAAAGAACACTTCGTGATTCGTTAATCACGCGAGACGGAGAACGAGAGGAACGCTTGTTCACGGGACACGACGACGCGTTTCTGTTTCTTAAATCCTCGTTACATAGGTGTGCATGTATATAAATGAAACACGTATGAGCGTTTATATCAATATATCGACTTTGATGCTGTATGTTTAGACGATAACGCGCAATTCGAACTATCCAATGCGATATGGACGCGATAACGCTTAAATCTATTCGATGGACCTCGAGCGAACGCCCTGGCGCGGTTCTATAAGCTCTTCGAGACATTCGGAATCTTTACGCGATCATTGCTTCTCCTAACGTTTCACGCTGGAACTTGAGATCTCGTTTTAAATGCCATTTTCATCATCTTTCCGTTCCCGTTTCGCTGGCTTTCCGTTAGATCATCGATAGAGTCGACAGCAGAAGACCTCGAGGATCGTCGATAGATGTAGGATTGTCGATCGCGGACGCTACAATTGACCCGCATCGAGTCGAGAGACTATCGACGACCAACGTTTCAATATTCGAGCGCGAAACGATTCTCGGCTCGACCACTTCCGCTCGCTCGAATGTAAATATACGCTTGAATTTATAACGATTTTACAAACGGAACAGGATGACCCTAGGCGTCCAATCGCCCTAACACGATGACTCGGTGCATTTCACTTGTAAGTCTGCGACGCCGTCGACCGAACGAGGATGATCCGCTAATTTTATACATCGTCGAGGTAACGTCACACGTTCCACCGTATCAGTTTTTTGTACACCAGAAATATCGATGCAAAAGGTGATCGTATCGTTCCTCCAAACGAGGAACGGGATTCTGCGCTGCCATTTACACTTGTGACGGTGTGTGTGTGTGTGTGTGTTCGCCAATGGAATTTTCAGCAACGACCGAGGGCCTGAAACGTTTTGCCCGCCGCTAACGATCTAACCGTTTTGTATCCACGAATTTCTACCGAGTCCTCGCGCGTTCGTGTCTTCGAGCCTTCGACGTGGACAGGATCCTCGTCCGTCGTGCTCCATCGAGGACATCGAACCCCCGAAAAACCTCTCCGTCGCGTTTCGAGAGGAGTCTCGTGGAGTCCAGTGGTTTTTACAACGTTAAGAATAACCAGGGGACCCGAGATGCGATATTTTCTACTACCCAATTTTGATAAAAGCTAAACGTTCGAGGGGAGACTATTCTAAGCGTATCCAACGCCTCTCTTGGCGTCACTTCTCTAATCTTCTCACACGAGGACACGCGAGACCCCTGCGGCGGAGCCACCCACGCGTTATACGACGATCAATCGACGCTAACACGGCCGATGCCGATTTAACTGTAACTCGTAATTGTTTGCTCGCGGTCCAATCAAACTAAACCAATAATAGTAACGGTAAATGAATATTGCTAACGTATATATATATATACGTTTTTTTTCGAGGGATTAAACGTACGGAATCTTGACCTCAGTCCTGGCAGGCTTTTCCTCGCTAGAGATGGTCGATTCGAAGTCACACTGCCGCCATTATGGAGAGTTTCTTAAGAGGACAGTTTGGTACTTCAGGCTGAAAATCGCGAAACCTTTTTTTTTTATGGGAAGGAATAATTAGGTCGAAATGAAATTTGGGTTCGTAACCTTTTTTGAATATATTTTAATGAGATTTTTGTTTTTTTTTTTTCTTTGATAATAATTCAGTTGTTATTTTTATTTGTTGAAAGTAAGGTAGAAAACAGCCTCTAATGGCATGAGATTATTGATTTAGACTAGGTTTTCTGTCACGCCAACTTCCTGGACCTGATAGTGCCAAACTGATACTTTACCATGGATGTTCGAGATGAAAGAGCGGTTCCTGTTGGAACGTCAACGAAAGGGATTTATTTTTATCCTTGCTCCGCGGAAAGAGTAGTAGAGAAATGGGTCCAATGTTCAGTTTTAACTCGACATCAGTAGGAGAGGAAATGTTAATTCATCGTTTTGCTATTACGTTGACGGATGAAAGGGGTAGTAGAAAGTCGGTGGATATGCATCCTAATGGAAAGGATTTTTTAACCTGTAACACTCTTTGGGTGACGAAAAAGAGATTCACGTTCGGTTCTAGTTCAACGTGAACCGAGAGAGAGAGAGAGAGAGAGAGAGAGAGAGAGAGAGATGGAGTGGGAACTTTTGATTCCCAACACTGTATTGCTTGAGAATGATAGATGTACCAGAGAATGGATCAACGTACAGTTCTAACCAAACATCGACAGAGAAATTTTTAACGTTTAATGCTCTGTTCCAGAATTAAAAGAGTAATAGAGTACAGGTCGATGTTCAGTTCTAAATACGGCGTTTATGTAATGGGAGGAAATGTTTACTCTCGACACTGTGTTACGAACGAAAAGAGTAATTGAAAATAGGTCGATACGCGCGTTTCAACAGAACACCCACAGAGAGGAATTTTCTGCCCTCAACCCTTTGTAACTCAGTCGCGTTGGACGACATTTTAACCGTTTGTATTATTTGTAAGTTTGTTTTATTTATTTCGAGTTCCGTCGTATAATTGTCATTTTCGAAACCGTAGGAGATACGCTGAATTAATGAAAAAAGGGGCGTATAGATGCGAAAATTATACGTGACGAAGCTTCTTGGAAATAACGAAAGTTATAACGAATAAAATCTTCAGCTAACTAGTTGGGTTACAGAGGGCTGACTCTTCGATGTTTTTATTCAAATTTTAAGGCCTCTTTCGACACTATGTTAATATCTACTTTTGTCCTGTGACTTTTAATCTGTAAATTTTTAGTAACATAAAGTGACATAATTTTGGGTAATAACTTGAAAGGAGTTGTGTTCTGGATTCCCAACACCAGCAGTTACGAATTCGAAAATCTAGAAGACGCGTTTGTTTCATAAAATGTGGCCACGACCGAGGCGGAATAGAGCACAGGAAGATAATAAAGAAAAGTTATACAAACAGTCGTCCTGTTCTTCATTTTTAAACTACAATATCATTGCTACGGTAATTCTCTTCTCAACCTGAGGTAATGTGTCACTAATTCTACTTAAGTATTTATACAGATAATGTTTAGTATTTCGTAATGTAATCTCTTGCGAAGACACTTCTAGAATTTTTCGATGAATCATTTTAAATACAAATAGCTGCAACATTGATTACTCTTGCATACTCAAAATTATCTCTCGAAATCCACATTTTATGAAGCTATATAATAACAGAGGGAAATGATCGAGAATTTCCTCGAGAATTTTTTATACAAAAATAGAGATCTATGGACTTTACTGGATCAGAAGTGGGCAGAGTTTTATTCGCAAAATAGATTACACGATATAACCAATGCATAATTTTTATTTGCTCGGCGTAAATACAGTTTCATTTTACAAGTCAGATTAGAATTTTTATAAAAGAACTAACGAATCAAAAATTCTCTCTTTTATTTGCTATTCCGATGTTTCATCTAGTTTCAACCGTTTTGCTCATTTCTGATCGCTAAAAATCGCATGATTGACCGGAATATCGAGAATTCCCTCGCGAGAGGGATCGAGTCCAACCGGGGAAATTCGTAACGACCGGAAGTCGCCAATGTTCGCCAGAGAGGGTAGTCTAGGGAGACGGAAGGCGATTGTAACGAATCGAGAGTCGTTGACCGCGCGACCACGAGAGAATTATGTTTATCCGTTGTACTTTACCTTCGTTTCTTTCTCTGATCGAGCATGTATCCTGTGTTGTACGTACGTCTTTTGTAAATATTATAACGAACGGAAGTGCAAAGAAGAATTAAACAAATAAATGATCGTCGACGAGGAACACGCACTCGCGACTGATTCGATTAATATGAAAAAAAAAAAAAAAAGGAACGTACTATATTTGCGACGACGGAAAAACGAGAGCTTCGTTTTCTTCTTTTCTCTCGGATTTCGAACGCGAGGAAAATATATCGGCGGGAAAGACGGAGAAAGAAAAGGGAATCCAGCGTTGCGAACGGAGGACTCCGACTGCGTTTCGTTGAACGAACGTGACCCTTTGGATACCGTGTTTGCATCTTATCGATTACATTTTCCTTTTAAGTATAGTTTAGAGTTTAAAGTTTAGAGTTTAGATCCGTTTAATGGTTGTTTCATTTCGTTCGACTATTGCGACGTTAAAATTGCGACAATACCGATATTCATTTTTGGAGAACCTATCTCGACGCCGATTGTTTGGGTATGATACCGGGTGGAAAACGTAAAAAAAAAAAAATAATAATAATAAATGCGCAGCAGTTGAAATATTATAGGTATTATATTCATGTTTTTTATGTAAATAAATTTTTGGTATATTTCAATGATCGTCGATATCTTCCTTATTCCTGCTACAGATTTATAGCCGCGCGTTCAATTTAATTCTTTAAACACGATTATCTATACTAAGCATGTATTTTTAAATTATAGTTCTCTACTGTGAGAAATATTATCAGCGAGTGGATGCAGTAGCCATCTAGTATCTCAAGCAGGAACCAGCTTTGAAGAAGGAAACTTTCCAATCGATTCGACGAAGAATCAATTTCCTCGATAGCGATTCACTTAATCGTTAGTCTATTGAGGCATCTCGTTTTTTTTTTTTTTTCAAATGAAAACTTGCGAAACCGAACGAAGTAACCTTGATACAATTCATGGAATATTTTCGTTCACGCTGGAATTTCCAGGTGGCAATCACATGCGCATTTTTCAATGAAATTTCGTATCGGGCGACGGTCTTGGTTTCCAACCGGGTGCAAGTGATAAAACAGTCCTCGTTGCTGTTCATAAAACGCTCCAATAAAAAAGCCCCGTTTTTTAATATTTCGGTGCCGCGCGAGGGTCGCGTCGCGCAAGTACGCATAAACTGTTCGGCTATTGGATTTTCTTTGCATAAACCCGATGCTCGTATAACGCAATATCTCGTCTCTGGTATCCGATAAAAAATTAAACATCCATTTTCGGTGCCTCGACGCTTTATCAATGAATTTCCAACCTTAAAACCGTCGACTCGCGTGATTATAAAAACGGACTGCCAAAGAGCAACGAAAATTTTATTACAATCTACGTGGAACGAGTACGTCGGACATTCCTGACCCAGCTTCGCGTTAAATAAAGAATTTCATTAACTTCATAAACATTTTTATGGGCTGTCCATTAATTTTATTTTCTAAGACTAACTTTATTATAACCTCTACTTTGACAAGTGTATCTTAATAAAAAAAAAAAAAAAAAAGGTAAAAATTGCTCGGAAAAATTCTGTAGTACCCCACCTTTAAATGTAATTGCAGAGTTTGATAGTGGTGGGGTACGTCCAGAGTTTCTCAGTTCCACTTTCAGTGTCACCCCGAGCGTCAACAGAGAATGATCATGGATAACACGGTTCGTTGCGCCGGGGAGAATTACATTAGCCTGCTCTTCGTTTCGATAGGTAAGTAATCCCTCTTCGTGGTTGCCGTTTTCGTAAACGTGGACCAATACGTTGCGTTCGTCTGCGTTGTCTCATAACTAGATGGAATTGACGTAGATATATGAAATTGCCGGCTACCACGTTGCCGTGGGCAATTTTATAGGTTCCTTTTACGACTTATGGGAGTCGTGTGTTATACTTTGCGTTTACGTTATACGCGACCCTCGAACGTTTACGCCCTCCTCCATCGGGTAGCATCCTCCTTCATCGGAAACCGTCCGAAAAATGTCTACATCTCTTTCATTTCGAATGTCCTTAAGCCTTATAGTTTAAGTCTTAACGTTTAAAGACACCATTTCAAGTATTATTTAATTCAACGTAGTAGTTGTGAAATCGAATACGCGTAGACTACAGATTAACAACCGAAACGGCAAAACAGCTGGGAGAGGTTGTCGCAAACATGGGTACATCTACGCCTACGAGAAGACAACCGAACCGATACGCGGGTAACTGTGGATTGCCGCACAACAGCATGGCGTTAGGAAATATCAGAGGCTTTATAGGAGATGTCAAGAAATGTTTGAAGGTGTTAGGAGATGTTAGAAGGTGTTAAGAGGTGATAGAAAAATTAGTTACAACATCGGCGCGAAGTATGCCCCTGTTTTATAGCAACCGTTCCTTGCCTGCTTGTAGTCTTGGTTGCTGCTTCGTAGGTGCCGCGGATCCCCTGTTGTGTGGCAACCGATGTTAGCCTGTTTGTAGTCACGGTTGCCGCATGACAGGCGTGGATCAAGGTGCCCCTGTTGTACGGCAACCCCTACTGCATTGTATGTCGTTTCGGTTGCTGCATCGTAGGGGCCGAGGTGCTCCTGTTATGCGGCAACCGCTACTAGCCTGCGTGCCGTTTCGGTTAGCATCTCGTAGGCGCAGTCGTGCCCTTGTTATAGAGCAACTGGGTCTGGTCTGTTTGTCGATTCGGTTGTCACCTCGTAGGCTAAGGTACGTCCACCCACGGCGACTCTCGCACACCCACACTCACCCACGTCCATCCACGTTGGGATCTGTATTATACATATTATTATGCAGTTAAAAGTATAATACGTGGTCCTGATATTTTCGATACGAGAAGAATTGAGATATACACCGTAAACTGCCTTTACAATGAAGCCAGAAGGCCATTGAGGGCGGCAACGAGGTTGAACACGTTTCTTTCGGATATTCTGAAAATGAACGCGAAAGGTCAAAGCGTCTTCGGTGTCTGGCGATGTCGTCCTCGCACAGCCATCCTGGCCACGAATGAACGAAGAGATAAAAGCGGCAGGGGAACGGACAGGATAGCGGAACGATTTCGAGCGGTCCGCTTTCCAGGAACATGGACGTAAATCACGATTTTATTACCGATAATTTTACGAGGAGTCCAGCTTGCCGCCGCCGACGCTACTCGAGTGTCGGCTACCTTAAACTCGTAATCGTGAGTCCCGTGAACCCGATTCCACGGTCGCGAAATCGTCGGCGAATTAACTTACCATTTGTCTAAGGTGATCAGTATATCATTACTTTGCTTTTCTTTTTGTTAGTGCAACAGTCTCGTGCCTGATTGAAAGATATACCAAGCTAGACCATCTTACACGTATGTTTCCTACTGGATAAACCGAACACAGTCTGGAGTGTCCACTCACTTGTCATCTACTCTCATGTAAATTAAATTGGATGTACCTGATGCGCAACCCTTCTCTATCCAGCTGGTTTCGGTAATCAAGTTGGAATGGACGAAAAGTGACTGGCTACTCGGGCCGAGAGATAAATCTGGTGTTTGGTCTTGCGCGACTCGCGGTCTTATTAGCATGAAACGTTCTCAGGGAATCCTTCAACATACACGTTGGTGGTCCCGGTTCGCATTTCTGCCTGGATCGCGATCCATCTGGCAGGACTCTACTCGTTTGCGGTGCACGTATTCTTTTCAGCTCTTGCGGTCACGTAAATTCGGATTTCGTGGAGCAACGAAAGGTAGGAGAATCCATCCTCTCCCTTAAAACGGTATAACCCTTTGGTTTAATTACATTTTCATAAGTGGAAACAGGTTATCCATAAACTCTTACGTGTTTCTAACTCTTCGACGCCTTTGAGCACTGCTCCCTCGTATTGTACTCAGTTTGTACGGGATTCCAAGAAGCTGACGTGTCAATAGCATAAATAACTGTTGCAAAGGCACGCCCTGGTAACGATCTTTAAAGAAGAATATGTAAATATTTTCACCAATGTTGCTTCGAACGGTCCACTCTTAAATATATTTTAATTCGCCGATTTTAGTCGAACGGTCGACGCGCCGTATTAATTTTCGTTGAGTTTTTTCATCGGAAACAACGATTGAGAAGACCCAAAGAGCACGCCGGTGGTCTCCATGCACACTTGAATTCCCGTCCCAACCCCTGAAGACGATATTCGTTGCGGTGAGTTCGCTTTGCCCGCTGCGGTAGTATAAATTTGAGTGTCGTCACGCAGAAATGAATCCTTTTCCGCATAATAACACACTCGTATAATAACATACTTAGCTCGCGGGAGTTATGCATAATGCTCGAAAGTGGAAATTGCGAATGTGTAAGTACCCCAACAGAGGGATTAAATACTGTACTCGACGTGGAAACAGTTTCTATGTCTCTGGAATGGCTTCTACTCGACAAGAGTGATTACGATTACGGTTCTCGAGATGATGAGTACGTTGATTAATTACATATTACCTTGTACACTTACAAGAGCTAAAGGAATGACAATTCCTTTATATAATATAAATATATAATATAATATAAAAATAATTACGTTGACGTATCAACTACTGATAATGTGATGCCACATAATTTAAGGAGATGCAAGATTCAAACTGCTATCATATTTAAGATGATTTGTTTTACCATCGAATTAAAGAGACCTCGCAAGTGAAGTATGACCAAATTCTACTGTCCCACAATCATCACAAACGTTTGTTCCATCCCCTTTAATGACCACCATCCCCAGCCACGCGCATAAACGTTGCGGGCTTGTTTCCTCGAAGTTCTCTCGCGGATTACCATCCCAAGGAAACACCGTGAAACACCTAGAACAATTAAATACGTTTCGTATCAGCGACATGGCTTTCGCAATAGCTGCTGTTCAACGAGAGTATTAGGTCACCCTGAAAGCTTCATCGATTCTGAACCGCTTAAAAGGTAACGATACCCTCAAACATATTTATTAATAATTCAATCCACAAAGCAACATTATCCCTTTCAAACTAATTCCTCGTAATATCACGCGTGTAAGTAACGTACATGTAATGTTTAAAAATAACAATGCGTACAACTCGCGTGACGCAGAAAAAAGAAGCAGAACCTTTCAGAATGGGCCAATAGTTTGAGATGGAAGGGTCCAGTCGACGGAGTCTTACTTCCAGATAATTGAAAGATAATGCCCGTTTTCGGCCGGTTCCCACGTTGTTGCGGCTTTTTACTTTGTTGTTCGGTGGCTTGGCATTATGCTAATTTAATTTATGCCGCGGTTCACGCACCCGACGCGTATACACGCTGGCTCCTCCAACATTTGAGCAATAACCCTGGTCCCGTCTCTTTTCTGCTCGCGACGACCAACGATATGCGTCCTCTTCGATTTTTAGCCGGGGGCTTCCACCGTTTCTTTCAGCGCTTTCTCTCCTGCTCGTCGATCGTCTGCCACTGGAAACATCGTATTAATTGGGCGATCGAGCATCTCTAATTTATGAGAGTTCGTCGCACGTGCGCCCACCCAGGCTTACGAATAACTTTTCAAGTAGGACACCGACGACACGGGTATACGATCTTTGTTCACCGTAGATCCTCGATAAAAGTCGGTAGTCGTCGCTGTAGAGTCAACTTCGGCCCAATTTACAAAGCTCCGTGTTTACGGGGACACCTACTTCGGCGAGTTTATGGTGAGTTTGCTTTATTTGTAAACCGAAAAAAAATCGCTGTTAATTTTGGACAACCTAATATAGTTTTAAACATATTCGTTAAAACGTAACACATTTCGGGTATATCCAGATCCGAGAGTAGTATTTATAAATGGGTACTGAAAGACTATCCCCCATTTTCCAGCCGAGAGTGCAAAACACTCGATGGAGCATCATTTCCAGGGATTCCAAGAGCCCCTCGTTTCAATCGATTCGTCCGAAGGGATGATTAATCCTGAAAAGAAAAGGCAGAAGGATTTCATCTAGAAACCACGGAAGTAGTCGGCGTCGCTTCGTTCGGACGGAACGCCTCTTAAAGTGGATGTATGGGATTAAGATAATAGTCCCGGGAGGGAAGGAACTGGGAAGGTGAAGGAGGCGAAGGCAAAAACGAGCGATATGATGTGGGTCAAAGTCTTTGGGACTGGGTCGCTATGTTCGGCTCCTTCCTCAAGAACAGCCGTCCCTCGCGAGCTTCTTCGGGGTCGCTGGCGTGACGAGAGATGGCGAAGGTCGGGGTTGATTTCAATTGCCGGAACGTCGACCACTCGATACATCGACGCAAGCTATAGAATCCATCTGACTTTATCTTAAATGAAAGTGTACGCGATCACAATTAAACGTGAAAGATTTACGCTTTACTCGAAGAGAACGACTTTGATGCAATTAATCTTACGTTGAGAGGATTTTGACGTAATACGACGCCCTTGAACTACCCCTAAAGCTTACACTGGACGCTCCGGAATCATAAAAATCACTTCAGGCTAGGCTCGACGTCCTCCAGGAAGGAAATGAAATCTCGTGGTGCTGTGACAGATTCATTACTGGCTGATATCGCGAAAGAAGGAAGGAGAGAACGATGGGGCGGTTTTCGGCGATGACCGATGGTCCGTGGGGTAGGTTCTCGTCTCTTCTTCATTTTTCACCCTCGCGTGCTACTAACCGTCTCTCCCATGCACCCCGCCAGCTCATCCTTAATAAGATAACGCCATAAGAACGATAAAGTTGCTCGTCCTTCCCCAGCGTTATTTTATCGCCCTCCTTGGATCTCAATCATTCTGTGTTTCTTCTGAAGGGAAAAATAAATACTTCCGTTGTACAAACAGTATCTAAATTCAATTATACAATATCTTTAAGATCGCGCATTTTAAGACAGTAATTTTGAAGCATGTTATTGTCGAATTCCACTGTTACTTATTTAAATAAATCGAAATTAAATGAACCGTACACAAATCGCTTAACTCCATTAATCACATAAAAAATTGTAACGAGATTAAGTAAATCAAACAAATTTTCAATTTCAAACCCCGCGATGCGTATCTCGCAACAATTTCAACGTTTCGAAGAGCGTGGGGTTCGCAGCGTGTTTCGGTGGAACTTGAAGAGGTCAGTGGCGACCACGGTTGACTCGGAGGAACGGCGCACGATAACGTCGCATGGAGTTACTCGAATCCCAATAAATCCAAAGGCGGCCGTCGGCCACCCTTGAAACCCCCTCGCATCCTACCCCGTGACCGAGCAGGCCTGCACAACGGATGCCGAGATTAGTATTAATTTATAGCGTTGGAAGATAGGACGGAACAACGCGCGGCGGTCGCACAACGGTCGTGGAGGGTGGAAAGTGAAATTCGGTGGCTGGCGGGAACGTGGCCGCCTCGGCATTTCCATTTTCCAACGCTGATAATTGGAAACCAGCCGGGCAACTTTCGTCAGTATGTAAATTCGTGCCGCTGCTATCTGCTCGGATCTTGCAAGGGGTGGTTCGCAAGACCACCGCTTTTTGAACGAGACGGGGCGCGTTGGAACCGATGATTAACCTCTTCAGGGACGAATTAATTTGTTCGAAGTGGGGAAATCGCGAGATCGACGGAAAAATAATATATTTGTTACATCTGTCCGCTTATCCATTGCGGCAATGACATATCCATACATGGATGTTAGTCAATATTTTAAATCGACACAGCGATCGTCAGTCGGCAGCAACTCGTTCGCGTGTTGACAAATTGAGCAACAGGAAAGAGTAACGATGAAACGAGTCGTGCTTTCAAGCGAAGGCAACACTTTCGCCGTCCGTTTATATTCACGTTTTACGAGCACTACTACAGACCACTTGTAAACACTCGACACCAAGTCTGGTTACTGAAACTGATCCGCAGCTAATAAACCTTGGCCCTGATACCCTCGAAATGCGTCTCGTTTCCACGCGTGGACTTCCGGGATTCTACGGGTCGCGAGTCGCGATTTTTTTCTTTGTTTCACCTTCATAGGGCGTGGCTGTCTTCGATTTTCACCCCTTTTCACCCCATCCACCGTGGATACTCGCCATTTATTCATTAAACGCCGAACGGCTCTGAGAATCGACGAAGAACTTGGAATTTCAATTCTCCTCTTACGGATCACCATTTCTATCCTTTTCGAATTAAACCTCTTTTTCAACTCGGGGAAACCTCATTAGGATTTTCAGACGAACGTGAACTGATCAATCGGACGTTATTTCTGGGGCGATTCTTTTCAGGATTCAAGAATTTCGATAAACAACGAAGCTTCAAAGTAACGATATCGGACAGTCGCTAATAACCAAAGGTTGATGCGACGTTAAATATGTAAAGAGAAAAGGAAAAGATATAGTTAATTCGTGAGTAACTAAATCGCGAAGACAGTTTGATAAAGCCTCTTCCATCTTGAGGGAGAGAGTTTTCCATCGGTTGAGCACCCCTGCAGCGCGTCTAATGTAAGAGGAGGAGATCGTAGGTGGAGGAGGTGAGAGTGAACGTGCGTAGCTGAAGGGGCAGCTCGGCGAGCCGGACTTCGAGGTCCTCCTTCGAGCCTCCACCCTCCCGATCCCGCCACCCCCGTCGACCAGCCCGTTTTCCCTTGC